AAAGTTATAAAACAGAGCAGAGTGGATATAAGATATCCTCAGCCCTTGATTTTAGAGGCAACTATTCATAATACCAAAAATTGGTGAAAATGGTAGATTGGAACTTCATAATTTACTCACATCTAAACTTCCACAGCTGCATCAAAAACATTCAGTAAAGTCTCAGGATACAAAATTAATATACAGAAATCTGTTGCACTTCTATACACTAATAATGAAGTAGCAGAAAGAGAAATTAAGAAAACAATCCCATTTATAATTGCACCAAAAATAATAAAATACCTAGGAATAAACTGAACCAAAGAGGTCAAAGACCTGTACCCTGAAAACTATAAAACTGATGAAAGAAATTAATGACACAAACAAATGGAAAGATATTCCATGCTCATGAATTGGAAGAACCAATATTGTTACAATGTCCATACTACCCCAAAGCAATCTATAAATTTAATGCAATCCTTACCAAAATACTAAGAACATTTTTTACAGAACTAAAACAGATAATATTAAAATTTGTAAGAAACCAAAAAAGACCCCGAATAGCCAAAACAATCTTGAGAAAGAAGAACAAAACTGGAGCGATCACAACCCCAGATTTCAAGATATTCTACAAAGCTCTAGTAATCAAAACAGCATGGTACTGGCACAAAAACAGACACAGAGATCAATGGAACAGACTAGAGAACCCAAAAATAAAACCACAGTTATATGGTCAATTAATCTATGACAAAGGAGGCAAGAATATGCAATGGGGAAAAGACAGCCTCTTCAACAAATGGTGTTGGGAAAACTGGACAGCTACATGCAAAACAATGAAACTGGACCACTTCCTGGCATCATACACAAAAATAAATTCAAAATGGATTAAAGATCTAAATGTGAGACCTGAAACCATAAAAATCCTAGAAGTAAACACAGGCAGCAACCTTTTTGACATTGGCTGTAGGAACTTCTTACTAGATATGTCTCCTGAGGCAAGGGTCACAAAAGCAAAAATAACCTATTGAGTCTACATCAAAATAAAAAGCTCTTGTACAGCAAAGGAAACCACCAATAAAACAAAAAGGCAACCTACTGAATGGGAGAAGATATCTGCAAATGATATATACAATAAAGGGTTAATATCCAAACTATACAAAGAACTCATACAACTCAACAACAAAAAACCCAAATAATTCAATTAAATGGGCAGGACACGAATAGACATTTTTCCAAAGTAGACATACAAATGGCCAACAGACACATGAAAAGATGCTCAACATCATTAATCACCACAAAAATGCAAATCAAAACTACAACTTGTCAGAATGGTTAAAATAAAAAATACAAGAAATAACAAGTGTTAGTAGGGATATGGAGAAAAAGGAACACTTGTGCACCATTGGTGGGAATGCAAACTGGTGCAGCCACTGTGGAAAACAGTATGGGGGTTCCTCAAAAAATTAAAAATAGAATTAGTATATGATCCAGTAATTCCATGACTGGGTATTTACCCAAAGAAATAAAAAACACTAATGCAAAAAGATACATGCACCCCTATGTTTGCAGTAGCATCATCTACAAAAGCCAAGATATGAAAGCAGCCCAAGTGTCCATCCACATACAAATGGATAAAGAAGATGTGGTATATATACACAATGGAATATTACTTAGCCACAAAAAAAGAATGCCATTTGCAACACGGATTGACCTAGAGGATATAATGCTAAGTGAAATAAGTCAGAAGAAGACAAATACCATATGCTTTTGCATATGTGGAATTCAAGAAACAGAACAAAGGAACAAACAAAAGGAGACCAAAAAAACCCTCTTAAATAAAGAGAACAAACTGGTGGTTGCCACAGGGGAGGTGGGTGGGAGGAAAGGTGAAATAAAGGGGATTAAGAGTACACTTACTGTGATGAGCACTAACATACAGAATTGTTGAATAATTATACTGTATATCTGAAACTAATGTAACACTGTATGTACATTATACTTCATTAACTAAAAAAAGTACATATCAAAAAAGAAATACTAAGGTGAAAATGTTTTTAAAAAGAAAAAACAAGTGATAAGCAAAAAAGCCTGTCAATAGCCAATTCATTAATGCATCCTGATATGTTATTTCTACTGGATATTGACAAAGATTCAAAGGAAATTACAATAGAGGAAATGGCCACTTATCCCTAGAAATCAAAAGCTGGAAAATGGGATCTTGGATCAACCCAGAGGAAACCGGAAAAGATACCAAGTCGACTGTGAGCCCAGACATTGCGGTGTTGGCTCTCCCAGAGAACTTGGTTTTTACAGAGGTCGTCTGGAAAGAGCATCTTGACGGCTGGTACAGGCTGAGTATGCATGACTCTAGGTGTCCCGGGCACGCGCTTTCCTTCTGGAACATGTAGTGTGGTGACTGTGCCGTGGGCAGGGGGCCTGAGAGAGCCAAGCGCTGGATGCCCCCAGGTCTCAGGGTCAATCTAACCAAGGATCTCACTCTTCTTTCTGCAGAGCCTAGAATACTGCTTGCTACACACAGGTGCTCAGAACTTGTCTACCTAACAGAAATGATAAACCCTACCAACACTTCCACACGTCACTACATAAGGTGCCCTTCCCACAATCGGGACCCTTGGGGGGTTACAGGAGGTGGCTGCCTCTGGCTCTGCCTGAGAATCACTTGTGAAGCTATTACAGAGATGGATCCTGGCAGCTGCAGTTTCTAAAACTCCACTGGTGGTTCTCATGCACAGGGTGTAGAGTCACTAATCTGTAGGTAGGAAATGGGTTGCACTTTCCATATACCAAATTCTGGAAGGGGGCGTGTGTGTGTATGTGTGTGCGTGTGTGTGTATGTGTGTGAGAGAGAGAACAGAAAACTCGGGACAAGGACTTGGATAATTTATTGAACTCAATCTAGATTATCAGATCACAAAGACCAAGGCAGAACACAATATAAACAAGGACTTTATCAGATTAAGAGGCCATACACACCTTGGCAATTAGACACTGAACTCACTACTCCTGGGTAACAGCAGGGAAGTACTGCAGCCTCAAGGTGGGCACTTAGTTTCAGCACTGCAATCTGAAAGATCATTCAGGTTTCTCTTCTAAGCCTTTCTTCCTCTCCGATCAATAATGACCTCTGGTGCCTGGTCCCTGACAGCCTGTGGCATCACACTTTTCATTCATCATTTTATGGCCAATTTAGGACTTTGTTGCGAAACCCCATGTGGGAGGCTACAGAGCCCCATAGCTAAGAGGACAGGCTCTGGAGGCAGACGGTGGGGTCTAAGCCCCATTTCCCTACTAGCTATGTATCCTCAAGCCAGCTGATTAACCTCTCTATGCCTCAGCTTCCTCACTTGTAATCTGGCAACAGTAACAGGTTACTGTGAAATTCAGATAATCCACCTGGTAACCACTCAATGCCTAGCAGTATCTGTAACCTGTTAACCGTCCCAAAGACGGAAAATGCATGTGTCCCAAGCAGAGCTCCTTTTCTCCTGCAGTTCCACACCAATTTTCTCTCAGTAACATTACCACTGCCCACCCAGGTGCTCCAGTCACAGCCCTGGGAGCCAGCCCAGACTCCTCCCCTTCCAGGACCTTCCACATCCACTCCATCAGCAAGACCTGTGCATTGTTCCTGCAACATACAGAGCCTTCTGTTGACATTCACTGTCTCATTGTCCTCTCTGTCCAAGCCTGTCACCTCTCATAATTCAGACACTCCTTGCCTCCCTGCCTTCACTCTGACCACCATACCCTTTATTCTCCCCAGAGTTCCCAGAATAAGCTCTTGAAATGTCAGTATGATCATGTCACTTCACTATTTACTTCCCAGTGTATGGAATGTGAGCAATGTAATGATGACCTAGCGCTGACCTCGCAAAAGAGGACAACACTGGGGACTGCAGGAGCCAGGAGACTGGAGGAATCTGGGTCCCTGGATGTCTCTGGCCGGGTAGCACCAGCCCCATACCTGTATTTAGGGTCCCCATTCCACTGCTCTGGACTGCTCACCTTCACACATTATGAGCAGCAGAATCAAGCTTCCACCGTGTTGGAGCCAATGTGATTTGAAGCTTCCGTTACAGAAGCTTAACCTGTGCCCTGGTAACATGGACCCTGGAAGTGGGGTGCTTCTGTGACAGGGCCTCAAGTGACAGTGGCTTCGCGGTCAGGCAGTGGGGGGTGAGGAAGCTCATGCAGGGAAGGAGACTAGCCACTTCTGTTATGCTGTGCAAAACATCTGAGACAACAGTGCCTGCATTAACTCGGGGGGCAGGTTCCGGGCTTATCAAGACTGTAGGTGCAGAAGAAACAGAGGAACTCAAACGCTGGGTATGTTGGCGGCTCCTCGGTGCTCTCAGCAAGGAACCGAGAAATAAAGGCGGGGTGAGAACCAGCCAATTCGCAGGCAAAGGTGGAAGTCACAGAGCGCTGCTCCACCCCGACGGGACTTCCTCCAGCTCCCTAAAAGGCTAAGCACTCCCCGGTCTCCCATCCTGCTTCCCCTCCAGGCTTGCGCAGGTCCGGCGCCCGCCGGACCTTGATCGGGGGCCCCCACCACCAGTCACCTCACCTCACCCAGTTCTCTCCGCCCAAAGCACCCCACCCAGGCGTGTCTGCTCACCCCGCAGCCCCACCCCGCCCAGTCCGCCGCCGGCACGTGGGGCGTGACTCGGGAGCGCCGCGCGCGCACCCCGAGCCGCGCTAGGGTCAGGGACACTGCGAACGACTCTGGGTCCGCTCCTTCGGACACTGGGGAACAAGAGCTCCAACTCCCGCACCTCCGCGCAGGCGCGGGCGGACGGGGACGGGGGGGGGGGAGCGCCGCGGCCGCGCCCCCGACCCCGCCCCCTGGCCCTGGCCTCACCCACCCCGCCAGGAGGGCGCGGGCGCGACCCCGGCCGGGCCTCCTCCCGGGAAGGCCCCCGGGCAGACGCGAGGCCCAGTGGGGCGTGCCCAGGGACTCCGCCATCCCGTTCCTCACGCCCAGGCCCCGGGGGGCTCACCGCGTCCCCCGGAACCTGAAGCTCCTCCGCCCTCCGCCGTCGCCACCGAGCCGGCACCAGGGTGTCCATGCGGCCCAAGCCCGAGTCCGCGGGCCTCTCATCCCCGCCGGACGCCGGACGCCGGTCCCAGCCACTATGTCCACGCCTCCTTCCCCACGTGTCCCGGGGGAGCCAATGAAAGACGGGGGCGGGGAGAAGCCCGATGGGCGTGGCCCCGCGGGGGCCGCAGGCCCGCGCAGTGAAGGCCAGAGTCTTCTGGGCAGGAGGGGGCTGCTGTCCCAGGTCATCCTTTCGCGGAGGGCCAGGCTGCCACCCCTCGGACCACTCCGAAGAACCTACTCCTTTAGCGTCTGGCCACGCCTCGTCTACAGGCGGGGGCTCGGCTGGGGGAAGCTCCCGCCTCCTCGCTCTCGTCATTGGCCGTTGGCGCCGTCGGCAGCGTCGTCCTCGGGCTGGTGGCTGATGGATGGCGCAGCGAGCCAGTCCGCGCGGGCGGCTGTTGGAGCGCGGGTCTCTGGGAGCTGTAGTCCCGGGGAGGGCCTCGCTTCCGGGCGGCCGCGGCCGTGGGGCGGCTCCGGGTCTCCGGCCGGGTGCTGCCCTGGGCGGGGGCTTTCTCGCAGGCTGGGGGGCTTTGCAGAGGGGAGGTGGAGGCCTCGCCGCCCGGGGCGCCGCTGCGCTCGCGTCCTCAGGGAGCCGGGCCCGGAGCAGGCGTCTCTGCCCAGAGCGGGCCGTGCGACACTCCGATTAATAGACACCTGTCTGAGCCGAGACTCTGTCGGTGGCTGGCCCGCGGCGGCAGGTCACCGAGCTGTGGCCAGCGGGGAGTAAAGCTGGTCTGCGGAGGGCAGGGCGCCGGGACAGAGGTGGACGGAGACAGGGCGCGTGGGCGCTGCGTCCTCTCCTGGCCAGGCGTCAGCCTCCCGGCGCTGCTGCAGCCTTCCTGCCCCCATGAGGACGGCTGGCGGGAAACTTGCTGGAAGGGAGGAAAGCCCCGAGGCCGAACCCTTTGAGCTTGTGAACCAACCCACAACTAAGTGCCCGCCAGTCTCCAGACTAATGGCTGTGTTTCTGTTCTTTGAGTCACCGAGTGCCCTGCTGCAAGCGAAGACGTCCTTGGTTGCTCTGCCCAGTTCCGAACCACTCCGGTGAAACGAGTGAGCCCCCCTCCCTCGGGCTACTTGCCGCTGGATCTTTGGCGAGTTAGGGAGCTCAGCCACCTCAGTTTGCTGAGAGTCGGTTTTGAAAGTTCTCAGCATAAAAAAAAGTTAACTGTGTGAGGTAACAGATGTGCTAACCGACCCTGTTATGGTAATCATTTTGCAATATAAGTATGTATCAAATATAATAAATGTATGTCACATCATTACAGTTCTACAATGTTCTATGCCAGTTATAGCTCAATAAACTGGGCCGGGGGGGGGACCTTGGGGCCAGATGTGTTTTTGGAATTAAGAATCCCTAGGATTGGGGCGCCTGGGTGGCTCAGTTGGTTAAGCGACTGCCTTCGGCTCAGGTCATGATCCTGGAGTCCCGGGATCGAGTCCCGCATCCGGCTCCCTGCTCGGCGGGGAGCCTGCTTCTGCCTCTGACCCTCCCCCCTCTCATGCTCTATCTCTCTCTCTCAAATAAATAAATAAGGGGCGCCCGGGTGGCTCAGTCGGTTAAGCCACTGCCTTCGGCTCAGGTCATGATCCTGGAGTCCCTGGATCGAGTCCCGCATCGGGCTCCCTGCTCAGCAAGGAGTCTGCTTCTCCCTCTGCCCTCTTCCCTCTCGTGCTCTCTGTCTCTCATTCTCTCTCTCAAATAAATAAATAAAATCTTTAAAAAAAAAAAAAAAGAATCCCTAGGATTTTTGTTTGTTTGTTTTTTGTTTTTTTGAAGGGCAGTGTATATATCGTGTGAAACACCTTCAGCAGGGCCTGGGATAACATCCTTTAGTCAAACACAATATTTCTGTGGCAAAATGTGTGAATGTTCACAAATATTCACCCTAAGTGGGATGTACAGCGGCTTTAGTCTCATATTTATGTGAGTTTGCGCAAACCTTAGGAAGAATGAATTTTTAGAACTGTTTGCATTTCAGTTTTGAAAATAAGGTGCTATCATGAACCTCTATGACTACCTCTACCTTAAAAACTTTTTTTTCGGACTTGCAGTTTAGATTAAATGATGTGCCGTGTCGCCTGATTTCAGTACCACTGGTCTTTGTGGTTGGCGCTGCTCTTTCAGATGCTGAGTCCACCGTTGGGTCATGAGGGAAAGCTTAGCCTACAATCTAGTGACAGATACTCTCCTTGACCAAACTGCGCTTAGGCTCCCCTGAACTCTCTTCTCAACCAGTCCCTGACTTTTGGGCTTCCATGTTAGTCTCTGCATTGTCCAATTTAAGCAAGAATCCTGCTAAGTCAGTTTGCCAGAATCCCCTATCCTTGATGCGAGATCAGCCTCAATATCTGATGGGGCTCCTCATTCCCCACATTCCCCTAGGTGATGTCTGATCACCCGGCCTGCCTTCGGCAAGAATCCCGTTAGGCTGATTTAAAAAGAATTGTCCCTCACCCCAGATGCTTCCTCCTAGTAATTTTTCACCCACCGACCTTCCCCTGCCCGCATCACACTCCTTGGCTATAAATTCCCAGTCTGCTTTGTATTGGGAATTGATCCTATTCTTCCTCCCCTGCTGCAAAACTCCAATATAGTAGTTCCTATAACTGTCACAATACATTAACTATTAGAAATAAGACTGTCACAGTGGTCCCCCTGAATAAAGTCTGCCTTACCTTCATGTCAAGTGTCATGAATAATTTTTTCTTTAGCACTGTGTACAGAAATAGATATATCTAATAGACTGCAATTTAGTGTAATACACTGTTTACCAAACACCAAGCATTTGGGTACCAATTACAAGATGTATACAAAACTCTGCTATTACTTAACTTGGTATATTTGTTTAATGTCGTAAATTTTTTAAACTAAAAATAATATAAAACATCTGTTAAATGATGTTTATAGTGCTCATTTTAATATACTAAAGCAAATACATTAATTTTTAGGAAAAAAACTGGAAAATCCTCATGACATCGGATTCTTGCATATATATGATTCCAAAAGCAGAGTCAACAACAACAAAAATAATTTGGACTATATCAAAATTAAACACTTCTGTGCATCAAAGGACACTATAAACACAGTGATAAGGCAACCCACAAAATGGATTAAATATTTGCAAATCATGTCTCTGATAAGGAGTTAATACATAAAGAACACCTACACTACATAAAGAACACCTACAACTGGACCCCAGAGAAACAAACAACCTGATTAAAAGTGGACAAAGGACTTACATAGACATCTCTCCAAAAATGATATACAATGGCCAATAACCACTTGAAGAGATGTACAACATCAACTAATCATCAGGGAAATGCAAATCAAAACCACAGTGAGATACCACCTCACACGCATTAGGAGGCCTATCATAAAAACACAAGTGTTGGCTAGAATGTGGAGAAATTATAAGCCTTGAGCACTGCTGGTGAGAATGTAAAATGGTGCAGCACTATTAAAAACAGTCTGGCAAAGTAAGTCAGTCAGAGAAAGGCAAATACCATATGATTTCACTGATATATGGAATTTGAGAAACAAAAGAGATGAACACAGGGGAAGGCGGAAAGAAAAAAAAACCAGAGAGGAAAACAAGCTGTAAGAGACTCTTAGCGCTAAAGAACATACTGAGGGTTGATGGAGGGAGGTGAGTGGGGGATGGGCTAGATGGGGGATGGCCATTAAGGGGGTGTTATGATGAGCACTGAGGGTTGTATGTAAGTGATGAATCACTGAATTCTACTCCTGAAACCAATATTGCACTGTATGTTAACTAACTAGAGTTTAAATAAAAACTTAAAAACATACAAAAAACTATATGGCATTTCCTCAAAAACTTAAGAATAAAATTATGATCCTGTAACTCCACCTCTGGGTACATAACACAAAATAACTGAAAGCTGGGGCTCGAGCACCCATGTTCATTGCAGCACTAGACACAGTAGCCAAAAGGTGGAAAGAACCCAAGTGTCCATAGACAGATGAATAGATAAATAAAATGTGGACCGTCCATACAATGGAATATTATTTAGCCTTAAGGAAGGACATTCTGACACCTGCTACAACATGGACTCCTGAAGGCATTATGCTCAATGAAATGAGCCAGTCACAAAAGACAAAGTATAATCCTACTTATATGAAGTACTGGAATAATCAAACTCGCCAAGACAGACAGATGGTGGCTTCCAGGGGTTGGGGGAGGGGACTGGGGAGTCAGTGGCTCATGGGTGGAGACCTTCAGTTTAGAAAGACGTGGAGAGTTCCAGACGTGGATGGTGGTGATGGTCGCTTGATGTCACTGAACTGTGCACTTGAAAATGTTTAAAATGGTGAGTTTTATGTTATGTATATTTTACCACAACAAAAAGATAAATATATTAAATAGTAAAAGTGAAGTGTTTTTCGGTGCACCACTTACCATCACTTGCACACTGCCTTCCAGGGAAATGGCTCTCAGGAGGAAGGTGACCTGAGTTCCAGTTCCACCCTGCTCATCTCCAGCTCCCAGGCAGGCTGCTTTAACTTCTCATTCCCCGTCCCTCTCAGTGTATAAAGGTGGAATGCTAAGAGAGGTGCCTACCTCAATGGGGCGCTGTGAGTTTTCGGTGAGATACTGTCTGTAGAGTGGAGGGCATGATGCAGGATACGCAGTACGTGGTCAGCTCGCTGCAGCTGCCTGACCACCTCTGGTCTGTCCCCATCTGAGCGCTGGATGTTTCTGGAGCTTTGGTTTGCTTATGGCTGCAGAACCTAACTAGTGATGTACACTGGGGCAACTGTTCATTTCTGAGCCTCAGTTTCCCCATCTGTACAGTAGGAATAAAATAGCTTGCTCCTGTCCCCTGCCTTCCAGGAAAGAGGGAGCTTCAAGGAGTGGCTGCAGATTGTTTGAAAAACATGCTCAGGGCGGGCCTGGGTGGTTCAGTCAGTTAGGTGTCCGACCCTGGATTTCAGCTCAGGTCATAATCTCAGGGTCATGAGATCGAGCCCCGCCTCGGGCTCTGCGCTGGACATGGAGCCTGCTTAGGATTCTCTC